TATTCCTATTCTTAAATTAAATCTTTATAAGGATTTGAATAAGAAATAATCCTTAGCCATAACAAGCATTATTTTTTATTCACATCCTTATTAAGGCTTAATTTAAGGATGTGAATAAGCTAAGAAATAATTTAAGGGTGCAAATAAGAAATAATCTTTAATAAGGATTATTTCTTATTCACACCCTTAGATTATATCTTATTCACTTAAATATTAGCTAAATAGGACGGTTTATTTTATGAAAATAATATATAACTGCTTTAAATGGTATAAAATTTTTTGTTCTTTCCATCATTTCTGTTTGTTGTCAACAATGTTGATATTTCTGTTTGTTGTTAACAATGTTGACAACAAACATATATGAAATTTGATGATGTTTTTTTCAATGATGACAATAAACATACATAAAATTTGATGTTTTTGTTGTTGTTTTTTTTTCACTTAATTAGAAACCTAAATATTAGCTAAATAATTTAGCTAATATTTAAGTTTCTAATTAAGTGAAAGAAAAAAACATCATATTTCATATAGCAAATGCAAAAATTTATTTATAACTTAGTAAACAAATGCAAAAATCGAAACAAAAAACGTCATAAAGTACGCGAAAAAAAAGCATATAATGCATACATAATTTTAAAACAAAATTCCTAAGAATCAAATCTTCAAGAATGCATAAATACTTGATTTAGAGAGAGGAAGGGCTATACTTGCCTTTTAGACAGGGAACCTTTTTAAAAAAAGTTTTTTTAACTAAATCAACGTTAAAGTTTTTAAATGTTGAGATTTAAAAATTTTTGTATGAATTTAAAAAAGGTTTCCTTTTCCATTCAATGCCTCATCCTTTTTTTAATCTACATGGAAAAAACCCAAGGTGATTGCTTTAACATACAAAAAGATATAAGAGAGTAAAGTTTTTGAAAATTCGGTGTTTTTGGTCAAACGTCCTATGTTTTTTGTAGCGCCATGGAATCGCTATCATTAATAAATTAAGTATATTTAAAAAAATAAAACATAGTTTGTATATTATTTATTAAATTATTCAAAAGTGATGTCATTTCATAAATCCAACTTTTACTAATTTACTAAATACTAATTTAGTTAAATAATGCAATAAAATAATGTTCAAATAAATAAAAATTATAAATGATAAATAAAAATGATAGCTGATAGCCTTAAAAATTAAAATAGGGGGTGGGGTGGGGTGTTCCTAATATACATAGATAAGTTTTTTCCGGAAATTCCCAGAATTCCTGAAATTTACTTAAATCTCCTTTAAATTTCCAGAAATTTCTGGATGTTTTTTTATTCATTTGTTAAAAAAAAATTATACATTTTTACATAAAATTTTAAAAACAACAACTTTTGCATTTGAACAAATATGTTTTCTATAGTAAAAATTTTCAAGAGATCAATTTTCGTTACAATTATTTTTCTTTTTTTTGCTTTTTAATTTATTCAAATTAACTTTTTTGAATATTAGAAATTCCTTTTTGTAAAAAGTTAAATAATTTAAATTCCGTTTTAAAAGTTTACGAAAGTTTTTGTCTTCAGTTAATATAATCAAGTTTTAATAAAATAATTTTCCATGATTTTTATAAAAATAAATTTCCAGGATTTTCATTAAGTCAATGAAACTCCCCCCCCCCCTCCTTTCCTAGTTAAAAAGTGCCTCGAAAATGATTTTTAATCATTGCTTTGTTTGTGTTTGTACCTCGTTTATTTTAATATAATAAGGTAGAGGAGCTGATTTGAAATAATGTCTTGTAAAAGGCATTTTTTTGCCTTTTAGAAAAAAACTAGGCGAATAAAATTTTTTAGAGCATGCAAGCACAGATACAATAAAAGAATAAGATTTGACTGAATGATGAGTCAATCAGGAATGAGTTTTTGTTGATGGAACTAGAGTTGATTGCTCCTTTGAGCAGCGACCATGATAGTATTTGTAGAAAAAAGAAAGGGATGCAATTTTACAACGATGAGACGGAGGCTCAAGCTTAACAGATAGTGTGGGTCCAGTTATTTTTACAATTTATTTTTGAACTTTGTCTTGAAGAAAAAGAGCATCATTAGACGAACCAGCCCAAATATAATACAACAGTATTTCATACAGGAACAAATAAGAGATTTATAGAGATAGAGAATGGAATCAGTAATCAAAAAAATGGCAAGATAAAGAGAAGCAACCTAAGCAGATGCTACTTTAGCAATCGATTTTATATATAGTTTTTATGAAAGGTCAGTAGTGAACAATAATCTAAGAAGATGTAAAGAAGAGGACACAATGAGGAAGTTGCCATTCATTAGTATAGGAATGTTAGCAGTATTGTGATAGTTGTTTGAAGCAAATAACTGAGTTTTGCTGGACTTAAAATTGACAAACCACTGTAAACCTCAATATGTTACAGGAAAGAGTTCAGATTCAAGATCAGCTGCCTGTTCTTAGCAGTCGAAAAGAGAAGACTTTTTGTCAAGAAAGGAGTATAAAATTGATTCATCAGCAAAAAGAGTTACTTCATAAGTAAGTTTCTCAGGAAGATCATTAATATAGATGGAGAATTGTGTAGTTCATTAATATGGATGTAGAGTTTACCGGTAGACATAAGACTTTAGTATTGCTAAGAAAAACTAATTTAAGATTTTAATAAAGGCTTAAAGTTGCAAATACTATGCTATTTGTAAATATTTATTGAAAACTCTTTAAAGTATTTTAAATACTGTTAGCAATTTTTAATCAATATTCAGAAATCACGTAATATTTGCAATATTAATAATATAGAAATAGCGTAATTGCAATATTAATAATATTAATAATATAATATATAATAATAGTAATTTCCCTTGCATTTTGTATTTGCGTAGTTATTCTCTATAATAAATTTTAATTGTATAAACAATAACAATTGGAACACAAATTATATGCATTTAATAAATGTATTTATTATCATTTTAAATTTCTACTTAAATAGTAACTAATCATAGAACTTTGATTGAAGGTTAACAATTTTCAATAATTACGGAAAAACTAAATAAAATAAAAAAATATGTTATATTTTTTTATTAAAAATATTTTATATTTTTTTAATCATTAATATAATTTAAAAAAATTGCCTACATTAAGTTACTTTTACTATGGATTTTTTTTGAATTTTTTTGCAGTTACTATGGACTTTTTGAAACATTAAAAACACTTAAAAACAATTTAAGTTTATAAATAACTAAATCTTAATAAAATTTTATGAAATTTTGTGAAGCTTTTATTACGTTATCATTATTTTTTTTATAATTAAGTAATAAAGTCAAAAAGAAAAAAAACATTCTGAAAAAGTTATTGTTTTTTTTTATTTTCCTAATGTAAAATAAAATCGCAATCGCATTTTTTTTTTAACATTTTTTTTGGGTGCCAATTCCGCTTCAGCAGTACCAAAACAGGTCTGGGTTTGTCCCTGATAATAGCCGAATCATTTAACAATAAATTTAATAAAATAAGCAAAGAAATAACGCATAATAAGACACAATTTATTATATTTTGTGAAACTTGTGAACTGATTGTTTAGTAAAAAATATTGAAGGTTTTATCGTTTTTAAAAAAGATAATGAATATAGGTAGAAAAATTCTTTTTATGTAATGAATACAAAAAGATTTTATCATGTGATTGCAAATTTAATTTAGTAATAAGGGCATTGTGTATTTTGTCCCATTAATTTTTTTAAAAGTTATAGTTGAAGCTTCCTCTAACATGTCCAAGCCGGAATTTCATCAAGTAGAGAAATTTAAAATGATATCCAATGTTTTTTATCATTCTTGATTTTACTGCATCTTGTTATGTAATTCCTGCATTGCTTTGTACTGCTGCATTGCTTAAAGTACCAATGGCCTTGTAGTCTAAAGCATATTCACAATTTCTGGAAGTTTCAGGCCAGCTTCATTTGCTGTAGCATATGAGCAAAACAGGCTGATCCTGCCATTCATTAAGAAAGTCCAGATTTATATTTGAGTTGGTATATTAATCGTAAACTAAACAGAACAATCATTTTCTGAACAGAAATTGGCTACTTGTCAGCAACATCTGGAACACTCTCTTGTTTGCAAGATAGCGGATTCCAACTTCCATTACTGTGTTTAAATCGCAGACATATAGGTAATATATTGATCACTTGTCCACATGTCAGTTTTAAAAGCTAGGAACTGTCTCTTCCCTTATTTCCGTTTCTGCAACTTGACTGCCTGGTTTTGTCTTTCCTTTATCAGTATTGTGGTAGTCAAATGAGGTTTAACAACATAGTGTAGATCTATGTATTTCAACAAGGTAGTGAATCCAACACCTACAACTAATTTTTCATGCATCACAAGCGATGATCTGATATTTTTTATTTATCTCTTTTTTCAATTTAAATTGCAATGCTACAAAGAAAAACAATATATTTAGTATGTTCCTACTGCCGATGCTATATCTACATGATGTGTTCAAGTAAGATGGTGTCCCATAGTGTTTGTATTACTGTCAAAATTGCCTCACTGAGCTTGCACTTCATGTTGTTCTTATTAACTCACACTTTTGATACTTTACCTATTTATTTTTATACAAAATTATCATGTTTTTAATGCAATTGTTTTAAAAGTAAAGTATGAAAAAAGAAATGACAACAGATAGCTTTTACAAAATATTTGTTATAAATTGATGAACTCAATTTTCTTAAAACAATATAGTTGGTAAAATTTAGCAGTTTCGTTAAAGTCTGAATTAACTTTTTACATGCACTTAAAATAAGTTTTTTCAAATCTTTTGTTTTTTCAAATAAAATGAATATCTTTTTTAAAAGAAGCTGAAATTATTTTAAATATTTTAAAAATTATTATTTTCAAATTTCTTTAACTGAAACTTTGTTTTCTTTGATTGAGTTTCAAATCAATTAATATAAATATCTGCAATATCTCTTTGCATTTTTTTCATTTGCATTTCTTCAAAAATTTGTGCTGATGAATAGATTTTTTTTTTTAGAAATTGCTGAATATGAAAGTTTTAGTTCTTTTTTTTCGCAACGATGTCGTAGCCATGCAATGGCATTTTTATGTTTTTACAATTTACCCTATTGTCAAAATTCTCTTGATAGCAAGCCAAAAAAGATGGATGTGTGTCAGCAAGATTGTATTAAATTAAGGTATTTTGTTTTTAGCTCTTTTTTTTTCCATCTAGTACTTTCTATTTATACTTTCTAGTTACACTTTGCTATTTCATTCTAATTACTTTCAATTTGCTTAGTCTACAATACTACAATAGTAATAAAGAAATAGTTTTAAAGAAATAGTAATTACTATATTTAGTCTTTATTAGAATACATCCCATAAAAATATATTCTATATATTTTTAATAAAAAAAACTTTTTATTAAAAATATATAGAAATAAAGAAAAAATATAAATAAAATCTTATTTGTTGGTTTTTTGTCATAAAGTGACGTATGCAAAAGATTTTTGCTTCAAAAATTTACGAAAAAGCAGCATCTATCCTATTTAACGGTCTAATTAAACCATAACGTTTTAAGCAAAAATTTTCTGCTTTTTCTAATATTTAAACAACTGTGCTAAAAAGAAGATGACATAATTTTAGCAATCAGAAATTATTAAAAGAGAGGCAAATATGAAATCGAAGCTTCAAATTTTCTAGTTAAATAAAATATTTTGTTTTAAAAAACAATATTTTCGTATTTTTTCAATCTTATTAATCTTTTAAAATACAATAACATACATACATACAAAAATTCAAAACAAAGCAGCTTAAGCAAAAAAGACTTTCAATTATTAGAAAAGTTTACTTATTACATGTGATCCTGAATAAAACAATATATAAGTGGATTTTTTACATTTGCTTATAACATATTTGTTCATTTATATTGTTTGTATATATTATAGCAAACAATAAATATAAGCAAACAAAGATTTTTAATTGCTAAGATAAAATTTCAATTTTTTTCTTGTTAAAGTCTTTTTTTTTTTTTCCCCTCCTCACCAGCACCTTCTGGAGTACCAGGACTGTCTTATTAAATTTTTTCTTCATTAAATTTCATATCAGTATTTTTTTTTCAGACTATCTGCAGCTTATTAGGACTAATTACCTGAGCACATTAATAACAATCAAGACACATACGCAATAAATGTTTTAGAACTTTTAGTTTTTTTAAAAATCTTTTCGTTTTTTAAAGTCTATAATATTGTTACATATGTTTGTATATAATCTCTATAAAACTTCAAAAGTATTTTGTATTTAAAAATAATGGAAAAAAATTAACAAAAAAAGTTGCCAGTGGTAGGACCACAGCTATTTTGTTTAGAAGCTCTGCATGCACTATCATACAAAAATCTTGAAACTATATAATAATTTTTATAATGGAAGTAAATGCTATAAATTGAAATTAAGGAGATGATTATCACAATGCAGTTTTCGAGTGAAAGAATAACTGTAAAACTTGATACATTTTTTTAAATATGTTTTAAATTACATAATTTCAAGTTTACATAAGTTAGATATTTGCATACACTTTCATTCACGTTTTCTTATAATAAAAGTACTGCTACTCTTTCTCGACACTACCTCGATTGCAATGGCCACCAAGGGTTTTGTGTCAAACACGCTCGAATGAACACTAACACTACTAACACTATTAAGTTCAGTAATAATAGATAAAGAAAATTTTAGTTAAAATGAACATTAGTGTAGATATTGAAACATGCTTATATGCAGGAAACATCCCATCATTTCAAATTAAAGATACAAATAGTCTTAAACATTTGTTTGTTAGTTTTTTATATTTTTTATTCTATACTATATATTCATATTGATTAGTGAGTAAAAAATCAATTTAAAAAAGTATTTTTTTTTACAACAACAAAATTATTTACTCTTATCTTATTTATTAAAAATAGCTATTTATATTTTTATATTTCCATAATTAGGAGTACCGATAGTTGATACAATTATTCTCATAGAGTAGGATTTTTCAGGTTTGTGAGCTTTAATTAGACCATACATGCAAGGCGGTATAAGATCACTTAGATGTATACTATCATATTCCGTTATTGCTGTTTTTTATTAAGTTGTGAGAAGTTTTAATTTTAATAGCATAACTAGATGTGGGATCTTCATTTAAAATTCTTCTTGGGCCAATTTGTTCACAAATTTTTTCCAAAGCTTTATCGTGTTCTATTCTTACAAAGTCATTATCCTTATCAAATGGATATATATCGATAATTTCCTTAATTTCCATAAGAGCTTTTCTTTGTTCTCTAGTAAAATTTTAATTTATTTTTTAAAACATTTTTTCTCAAATCCTGCGCATTTTCAATTTTGTTGCTATATTCCAATTTTAAAGCGAAGGTCTCTGTTGTTGCAATAATAGCCATATAAGGTATATATTTCAATGAAGGTACAAAATGTGGACCAAGATTAAGAAGATCATTTTGGTTTTTTGGAATATCGTTATAGCATAAGTTTAAAACAGCATTCTTTGTATGGGTTGTTAATTTACAGATTTTATTATCGTGATTATTTTCAAATTGGTTTTGAAGAATTTTAAACTTTAAAAAAAATCTCTCTTTTGATTTCAGAAACATTATTTCATGAGCTTTCTCAGTAACTTAATCAACTTTTTTGTAGTATATTTTATCAAGAATAACTTTAAGATCTTTCTGGAGATTTTTAGTTTATTAACAAGCATAAAATATCGTTTTTTAGCAGTGTTTTTAATACAAATCAAAATTTCAAATCTATATCGAATAACAATACTCTTGTATTTACAGGACTGTTATTTTGTAATGATTTCAGAATAAGTTTGTGTTTTTCACATTTTTGTAAAAATATGTACTGGTTTTTAGACTTTGCTACTGACTTCTTCAATAACTTAACTGTTCAGTTTGTTTGTAAACATCAGCTCCATATTTAGCTGCAATATATATCTTTAGTGTTGACATTGTGTATAAGAGTATATGTTATATTAGTAAGAAAACATTAATTAATATGAATTCTCTTAATACAATTAATAATTTATTATTAGAAATTTTCACTCGATTATGGTTACCATAATCATAAAGAAAAAAGATATTGATTTTTGATTTTCAACAGAAGAAGTACTTCAAAGTTTATTATATTAAAAGTAAAGTTACTTGCAACTTAAAACTTTTTTAAATCTGCAGATATAAAAAAATTTTACGTCGCAAATATGTTGAAATATGGGAGAAAATAACTCAAAAAAGTTCATTACATCTTTGCGTGGTTAAAAGAAAAAATATGTTCAATAGATATGAATTCTTTTTTCATTAATCCTCTATCAATCCTCTACTAAATAAGTTAAAATCTGTTTTAACATTAGTTTAGTAATAATTCATGGTCAAGTACGTGAAGAGAGGGGATTTAATGTTAATAAGATTGTAAATGATAATAATTTGAAATTAAGTTCAATGATATCAAGAAAGATGATAGTAGACCTCATGCAAAACAACAACTTAATATCTTCAACAATAGAACTAACAAATAAAGTTAATAAAGTTTTTGAAAAGTGCATGCCAAAGATATTAGCTAGACCATCAGAAAAAGAATGTTTAGAAAAATAAATACAATCATCAGTATAAAATTCCTATGAAAAAAACCAGTGATGTAGTAAAGAAAAAACGCTCCTACTAGATTCTTGCAACAATTTAGATATTGAGTTTTTTAATATCATAAAAGAGGCAGAAAAAAAAAAGGATATCGAATTAGTAATTAAAGGAAATGGTTTGAATAAGAAGAACAAAGAAAAATGTATTAAAATTCAAAATTTGGAAAAGGCAATCAAAGTTTTAGAAGAGAAATGGGAAAAAATATTGTGAAAATTTTTTCCTTCAAAGATTTCTTATTGTAGCTATTTTTTCTTTATAAAATAATACAAGATAATGAAGTTAAAAAAGTTTTCTCACTTGTATTTTTTGATTGTTTCAAAATTGGAAAAAGTTACTGCATAATAAGTACTTTTGTATGTGAAATTTTGAGAATACTTAGTCCTAAGAAAGACTATTTTTTAATTAGTTGTTTTAAAGTGTAAATAAAAAAATAAATAAAAGCCTTTAGTTAAAGAACATAAATGATCAGTCATATATGCTCTTTTATTATATATGTGAGTTTTAATATATGTCAATGTGAATATTTTTTTCCATATGCAAATGTCAATTTGAGTCAATGTGAGTTTTTTTTTTTTAAATCTCAATACTGTTTATAATTATTACTAAGCATCTGCATCTTCTCGTATCCTCTCGGAAATTCGGTTTGACACGATAGAAAACAATAATTTTTGTTTTGTGCTGTTTTTATGAAACAACAAAATACCATATCGTTTTGTATCATATTTTTACGAAACAAGTAAAGCTTGTTTCGTATCTTACCATATTTTTACGAAACAAGAAAATTTTGTTTCGTTTCGTCTCGGTGTTTACGGAACATTTCATAATTTCCACACCCTAAACAGATATTTTATGATTCCCACACCCCCGAGCAATACATAAAATTTAACATTCAAGCAGAATAAATGCGCATTTAAAACTTACTAACATAATGTTTTGTAAATGAAAGTTTAACTAAAAAGTTTAACCTTATTTCCTTTCATACTGGTTTTAACAAGACACAAAATTATTGTTTTGATTTGTGTTGTATTTTTCAAGAAACAAAAAAATTTTGTTTCCTTTTGTACTATTTTTTTCAAAATTGTATAAACATTGTTTCGTTTCGTACTGGTTTTATCAAAATAAAATTTTTTATTATTGTCTCGTCACCGTTTTGAGACGCAGATGCTTAATTATTACTATATAAAGTTAATGAGTTAATTTATAAATTAATATATAATTAATATATAAAGTATCCACGCAGGTTTAAATTTTCCGAGGGGGGAAAAGAATAGTTTTTTTTGAATGATACAAGGAAACAAGCCTTTCAAAAAAAAGGTCTGGGAAATTACTTATGCTTTTGATTCAACTCAGGGAAACCTTATACTAAATACAAACCCTGTTGAATTGCTTCACTAAAATTGATCCCTTTATTTTGCATTTGTTAAGAATAAAGAATTTAATTTGTAATGATTTTTTTTTTTAAGTTTAGAAAAAAGGATTATGCAATTATCTATTTTTCTTCTAAAAATGTC